GCTCTCCTCTGGACTCTTTCTAGGAGTTCCTCGTCTTTCTTGAACTGGGGAGCCCAGAACTGGACACAGTACTCCAGGTGGGGTCTCACCAGGGCAGAGTAGAGGGGGAGGATAACCTCCCTCACCCTGCTGGCCACACTCCTCTTAATGCACGCCAGGATACCATTGGCCTTCTTGGCAACAAGGGCACCCTGCTGGCTCATGGTCAGCTTGTCGTCCACCAGGACTCCCAGGTCCCTCGTGGCAGAGCTGCTTTCCAGCAGGTCATCCCCCAGCCTGTACTGGTGCATAGGGTTCGACCTCCCCAGGTGCAGCACTTGACACTTGGCTTTGTTGAACTTCATCAGGTTCCTCTCCACCCAGCTCTCCAACCTGTCCAGGTCCCACTGAATGGCAGCACAGCCTTCTGGCTTATCAGCCACTCCTCCCAGTTTTGTGTCATCAGCGAACTTGCTGAGGGTACACTCTGTCCCCTCGTCCAGGTCATTGATGAACAAGTTGAACAAGACCGGGCCAAGTACTGAGCCCTGGGGAACACCACTAGCTACCAGCCTCTGACTGGATTCTGTCCCGCCGATCAGAACCCTCTGAGCCCTGTCATTCAGCCAGTTCCCAATCCACCTCACTGTCCACTCATCCAATCCACACTTCTTGAGCTTCCCTATGAGGATGTTATGGGAGACAGTGTCAAAAGCCTTGCTGAAGTCAAGGTAGACAACATCCACTTCTCTCCCCTCATCTACCCAGCTGGTCATGCCATCGTAGAAGGCTATCAGATTTGTTAGGCATGATTTCCCCTTGGTGAATCTGTGCATTAGAGCTATTAGAAGGTGCTGCCTTAAATTTCTGTGCCAGAATGTTGGGACATTTGCCCAAGTGGCTGAGGCTGTGCGAGGGAGCTGGAAGGACAGCACGTGCCGGTCCTCAGGCACTGCTTTCCTCAGATCCAGTCTTGCCTTTTCACATTTGCAGACCCAAACGGAAGATCTCAGTGGCTCAGTTAGAGGTGGAAGGGGAGTTCCTGCTCACTTTCTTCTTCCTGTGACTAAGTCATGTTATTAGCTACTATGAGATAATTTGTAAGGAAAAAATCTCTGGAGTCACAGATGGAAACTGAAAACCATCAATATAATGCCTGGTCACAGTAAGAAAGTCAAAGAGATCTGAGTTGTATTAGTAGATGAGCAGAGCACAAAACAAACAGGTAAAGTGGCATTTGGAGAAAGGGGTAGTTGGACTACACGTGGAGTACTGTACGTGGCTGGCAACGTTATCGTATGGCTTTGATGGTAAAGGTACAGGTGAGCAATTAAGACCATAAAAGGCTTCAGAGGCTATGCCTCTGGGGTTG